TACATGCCTACATACAATACATACGACGCCTACATACCCACCTTATGGCACCAGCTCTGGGTGAATTATCTCAAAGCATAGGCAGGGTAGTGCTAAGCAAACCAAAATGTCTGGATTGTTCACCCAATCCAATTTTGGTAAAGACAGCATTTTTAATTTATTTCTTTTATCGATTGAAACTGAGTTGAATGAGTTGAAGAGCTATAGATTGCCCCAAATAAACCACAAAATAAAACATTTTCCTGTTTTAAATTGGCTATCTACATTTGTATGGTGGCTTCAGACAGAGAACAAAGAAGCAGATGCTGACAGTCACACAAGTAATAAAGAGCAGAGATATTTGTGTGCAAATGCAATCCATGTTATCCAGCTACTATTTCAGAAACTCCAAATCACCCTACTGGTGATGGTGATCTACTGTAAACACTGGGCCTAAATGTAAATGCACAATCTCAGCCAATGTTACATTTAGTCATTTAGCAGATGCTTTTGTCCAAAGTGATGTACAATGGAGGAGGCATTCGGCAATTCAACAAAAAAGGCAATACACACAAGAAGTGCTATTTATATAAAGAAACTGTTTGTGCTCAGTCCACTACAGTAAAGGAGGGGGGTTTGTTTGTTTTAGAGAGAAGATTCTACAGGTGGTTTGTCAAGCCTACTCACCTTTACAACCTCATTCATTCACTTTCTTTTCGACTTAGTCACTTTTATTAATCAGGGGTTGCCACAGCGGAATGAACCGCCAACTTATCCAGCTCATGATTTACACAGGAGATGCCCTTCAAGCCACAATCCAACACTGGGAAACACCTACACCAGGGGTGCTCAACCCTGTTTCTGGAGATCGACCTTCCTAAAGAGTTCAGTTCAAACCCTGATCAAACACACCTGAATCAATTAATTAGGACCTGAACAGCACTTAATAATTACAGGCAAGTGTGTTTAATATGGGTTGCAACTGAAATCTGCAGGAAGGTCGATCTCCAGGAACAGGGTTGGTCACCCCTGACCTACACACTTTTGCACTCACTCACATACACTATGGCCAATTTAGCTTATTAAATTCAGCTGTACCGCATGTTTTTGGATTTTGAGGGAAATCTGGGCACGCAAATACGGGGAGAACATGCAAACTCCATAAAGTATTGCCAACTGACCCAGCCAGGGCTCGAACCAGTGACCTTCGTGCTGTGAGGCGTGCTGTTTAGACGTTAGTATCAGTATGTAAATCTTAGGCAGAGATGGCCAAACTAGGGTGCGTGGGCTAAAATTGGCCCATAGTAGCTTTTGATTTGGCCCGCCATCCCATCTGATAAGAAAGGAAGTTCATATTTAATGTAACCCTTTGTTTGTTGGTTTTATTGTTAAAATTGAACTGAAATTAAATTATTTAATTAATAAATTAATTAGTTATTTAAATTTAATTAGTAAATTAATCATATTTTTCTTTCAATGTACATACTCACCCAACAGTGCAGAGACTTTGGTGAGCAAATCAAGTCATAGGCAGATTCTACTTGACTAGTGTATTCAGCATTGAACTTCACTGTGCTGTAAATGTGACTGTTTATGTTTTATTGCAATTATTTATGAAAGATAAAGTTATACTGCATTAGTTAATAGGATTTAAAGTAATGTTTTCTATGTATTTTAAAATATTATTACATAAATTACAAAATTACCCATGGCAACTTAAATGTCATAAAGATTCTCAATGATATTTGGTTTTTGCCCCTTCATACTAAAAAAGTTTGGGCACCCCTAATCTTAAGGATATCTAATGTGCTCCAAAACAATGTCAAAATTCACATTTAGATGATATAAACCTCAAACATGCAGTTTGTCACTTCTGCCTAAACAGATCAACATTTTTTTGAGATCACTCCATACTTCAGTTTCTCATCTTATCGGCTGAACAATAAAAGTGCTGTCTAGTATCTGACATGTCCCACCTCTTCAAGATTCTTCTTTTAAGATTCTCTCCTTTTAAGAAATGCTATTAGCTGTGTTTTAAGGGGAGGAACTACTATATGTCCCACCCTGTCTTCATGTTTTGGTTAAGATTAAAACGCACATTTCAAAGCACTTCAAGACACCACATTGCAGTGATGTAATGCTGAATGATACCGCTCGTAAACACAGCTGGAACAAGGTCAGACCTCGTCAGTTTTCTTACCCCATCTGTGTCTGTTGATGTCTGTTAGAACCTGTTTTTAGAGACTGTGAGCAAGTGGTATGCTGTAACAAAGTCCCTTTAAGGCAAGTAATTTCACATTCGGCAGCCATCTTTGAAACGCCTCTCGGGCAGTACGCTCAGGCATTCTGTCTGAATAGGGAGACATCAAATTCTCCAAAACTGCTTGCCAAGCTTACCACTAAATTTTATATTAGGAATCACTAATACAATTAAACAACTGTCTCTTTAGTTTAATTTCTAAACATCCAAATCACACAAAATCTGCAGAGACTCACATCTGGGCCGAGCCCCTCCCCGGAGAATCGTCGGTCGTCATCGATCAATGATTGGCTCCTGATCTAGAAGGCGGGCTTTTTTCGCCATACAGCGATCAATGATTGGCTCCTGTACTAGTAGACAAGGCTCTATTTACCATATTGACAGTTACACTTTTCATTAAAAAAGATATTAGTGACATATCTTGTGTATTCTATAGTCGTTGTCTCTAATTCTATGACTGTCACTTTTGTCACTAATGATTGAAGTTTAAATCATTGAGTGTAACCAGAACAGTCAGATTTGTGAATCAATGAATCATTTAGTTATTAATCATTTAGTTAGTAATGATTCAGTTATTGCTTCAATGAAATGATTCATAAGACTGACTTTGGTTACAATTTCATGATCTCATAAACAAGAGCTTGGGTTGGACTTAAATTGTATGACCAGTTTCCAATTTTACCAATTTTTTGTGTACCATACAATACACTTTTATAAATCAGTTTTCATTCGTTGTAATGGTGTAGAAAAGAGCAACCTTCCAGTTCCTGTTTGAGATGAGGATGAATAAATGAAGAATGAATTTTCTATTCCGAATACAATAATTCTATTATACAGTTTAGCAAACGCCATAACAGGGATAGATGTTTTTCATCTTGTAAACACATATTCTGTGTTGATTATTCTAACACCGGAGCCACATGGAAAGAAAAAAAAAAAAAAAAAAAAAATTAGATATTATTTGAGGTGTGGAGAATGACATATTTGAGTAATTTAGTTTTTCTTATTAAAATAAATCATTAAAATATGCTGTCAGAAATATGTACAGTAGCAGAACAGAAACCCTTTTTTCAGGTCTTACTGAAGCTTTCGTTTAGGGATTCCCAAAATCTGGCTGTAAACCAGATCAATTCAAATGTGCTTTGAAGATAAGAAGATTATTATGATCTGATTATGACATTAACGTGATCAGACATACGTTGGACAGCTCTGTTACTTTGACATTCAGATAACATTGTTGGTGATTGTGTTTTTCTTCATGTCCCTGTTTGTTTGGGTCAGTAAGGACATTTTTTGGTCAAATCATTGACTACAAGATTTTTTTTTTTACTTTTCCCCCAAATACTTTGCGTAGAAATTCAGTGGGGGAAACAAGTATTGAACACGTCATGGTTTTTCTTGAGAATGATATTTCTAAACGAGGTGTCGACAATTGAACAAGATTTTGGTAAAAACCCAAACAATACAAACATAAAAATAATTAAATAAATAAATAAAAATGTAACTACTGAAATGTATTTAACACTTAATTTTTTTTATGGTGATGGCAGCCTAAAGATGCCTTTCATTTGGAGAATGAAGTAACATGCATTGCTGAGGTGGGATTTTTTTCACAGACTATAACCATGAAAAAGTCTTGAGGTCTCGTATATCAAATCTGATCTTTATTTTGTATCTTCTTTGGATTTAAAGTCAGTTAATTGTCTGGGCAAATCCACAGCTTGATTTTCTTCCTCTGAAAGCATTTGAGAGTTTCATTGGCAGTGTTTTGGATCATTGTCTTTCTGAAATGTCCTCTCTGGGTCGTCATCCTGGTAATGTAGTTGTTGGACTGAAGCAGCTAATATTAATTTACGTGATAAAGGGCAGAGAGTTGCTAAATAACTACTGAGAGCTGCTGTCTAGGCTTTCACTGCCTTTCTACACCTTCCTTTCTTCATGTGTTCAGTGCTTTTTTTTCTGTGTTATTTCAATTTATTACACATAACTTAATTTCTTAAGTTTTGTTTTCTTTGCATTTATGAATTTATTTGGTTGTTACCAATATCCGAAATATGTTTTTTTTTTTAAGAAAGATGTTGATGTGTTGAATACTCATTTCCCACCTGTGTAAGTGTACAACTGGCATCTCTTCAGTTGTTTAGTGAAAGGGTGTTTGCCTTGAACAAGCTTGCAACTCAAAGAGTCACTTTTTCTAACACACCACTTACACACTTGCCTATAACAAACGTGCAAAAAAAAACAACAACAACAAAAAAACACCTAAAATGTAATATATGTAGAAAATTAGAAATGTATATTTTAATATAACAGGTATAACAGGTATATCTCAAAACAAGCACATTTAGCACCAATGCAATGCTTGATGATGTTCGTTTTACTGTTTGTTAGAATGACTCTTTTTTTTTTTTTTACTCTGGAAAAAACTTTTCAAATATAATTCAGTTGAAATAATTGTTAATAGCTGTGTCTAAAATTGTTATAGTTATGTATGGACTTATTTTAAGTTCTTGCTTTTTGTTTCAATGTTCTATTAGGTCCTGGTCCTCAAATCTGATTTGTTAACTAGTGTTCCAAAAGTGTGTCATGGTTATATATCACATTTGTGTTTGGGTCACAGGGCATAACTTGTGACTGTGATATTGCTTTAGGAATATCTGGTGATGTGAGAAAAAAACAAGATTTGAATGATGATGAGATTTCTTTTAAAATTGTATACAGAACAACGTTTATCTGACATATTCTTCTTCTCTTTTCTTAGAGTGTTGTGGCCAAGTATGGCTCTCAGTTCAAAGGAAACGCTCAACATGATGCTTTAGAGTTTCTGCTCTGGCTTCTGGATTGTGTGCATGAGGACGCTAACCTCTCCACCAACAACAACCAAAGCAGAAATAGTTCATCCAGCAAGGTAACACCAGGTTTCAGTCTTTCTAAATACCCTTCAGAATGTTTTAAAATCAACTATTTAGCAGACAGGATACACTGATTTTTTTTATGAAAAAGGATCAAGACAACAAACATTGTTATGTTGCTTTAACTTGTTGTAATACGATAATACGATCAGGTTTCAACTACAGTGTACTACAAAGTTTAAATTCTTATTTTTTGTCAGGATGACTGATGTAAGTTTAGATGAATAGAAAATATCATTTGATTCAACTAAGAAAATTAAGGCAGTAACCTTTTTTTTACAGTGTAGCCACCAAACCAATTACAGTCATATAGTGGTTTATTCTTCTCACTATGTCTAACAGTCATTAAAACTGCTATTGCAATGTCAAAATATCAAAGGTGTAATAAAATCTAGCTTTTTTTGTCAAAAGCACTTAATTTGTTTTGTGGATTAGTCTTAAAATTAGTCTTTTTGTGGGCTTTTCCCCAGCTCACAATTGGATGGTATTTATTATATTATTTATATATTATTATTATTGATAAATTAATTCATTTAAAGGCAAGTTTCTCCTTTAGAGCTCGAGAGTTAGAGAGTTAGAAATAATTAGTTAACAAAAACATGAATTGAATTAGGCTGCTTGCCTTCATGTCATCCACTAGTCCAGTTTTCTTCCTTGCAAGTTTAGAGTATGCCTCTGTCGCCGCATGCGCATTTTAAAGGCTATAGACGGACACACCCTGACCTGACGCGGGGACCCGATCTCTGGGCTATTGATTTAATTTCACAATTTTCACAATTTAATTGCTTTTTCATATTATGAAATGTCTAAATTTGTGTTCTAAAGGTTGGAATGACAGGAGTGTTTGTAATTAATGACAGAAAGAATTTTCACTTAGGAGAAAATAAATCCTTTATGAAGCATAACGTCTGGCCTGATTCAATTACTGTGCCTGAATATTGTTAGATTTCCCAGAAAAGCACAAAGCACAATCTATTTTACATTTATCTGTGCTTTTATTTTAATTTATAATCACAATATATATTGCAGAAAAATAAAATATCGCAATGTTATAATTTTCCAAATTCGTGCAGCTCTAGTTTATGGAATCAGTTACTAGGGGTGTTTAAACACTTTCAAGGGCATGGCTTGAAAGCTTCATTAATATATTGAGATGCCTATTGGTTGTTTGAGTCAAATAAGCCCACCCCCATGTCTCTATGACACTGTGTTACTGATGGGTGAGATGAGTGTATTGCAATGGGCCATGTTAAAGGTGCAGTAGGGGATTGTCTTCTGAAGCATTTTTTGTTGTGCTGGCTGAGTCTCTTCACAGTCCAATAGTAATGATTACAGTAAATGATTTAAATGTGTTTATATGTATTTTTATATTCTGGATAAGGCAAAAAACAAAAAAAATGTTCATCCAATTAAATATTGTCGGACCGACATCTCCCATAATTGCAATAAGTAGCTCAATATGTCTGTCAGCAAATGCAGATTTGGGCTTTTGCGCATCTCTGTTTACGCATATCCACAATTAGTGTGTGCCCGCTGGCATTAGCGCCGCGCATGCACGCCTAGCTGGGCCGTGTGTGCACACAAGACAGTCACAGTCGCGGCGAAATCAAATGCAATTGAAACTTTTTTAAACTCCTGAATCAATATTGGAGTTATTTTTGCACGTTGGAGGATGGACGACACCATGGCTAAAGTATTTCTGTTAGACAGGTAATGTTCTGTTTTTAAACTGTTTTAGCTTCATGCAGAGCAGATGCAGATTGGGTTGTGAATGGGTTTTATGCACAGACCTGTCGTTCGGCCACTGAAATCTCCTGGTGAAAGATTGACTTGACTATTTTCAGTTTGATAAGGGCCTTTTACAGCATTGATAATGTAGATATATATTTAATTTAACAACAAAACATCAGTAAATAGCGCTATTCCGCCTAGTCTGGTTAACTGAGCTGGATCTGCTTTTAAATTCACATTAGGTCATTTCTGAACAATGACAGCCAGTGACATGCTCCCTATAGCCTACTATTTACCATGCTGAATTTACCATGTCTGAATATTTGCTCTGAAATAGCATGTAAGTGTGACTTAGTAATAAGTGAAATTCCTGCACGCCACCGGCCCAACCACTATGTACGCTTCTAACTGGGGAATGACATGAACTAGTGGGTTGTCTGCTGTTGTGTCGCGGTGGGCGCGTTCACAATTTCAGGAGGCGTGGCTTTGAAACACAGTCCCTCCCCTGTCGTCCAAAGCTAATATGCTAACCGATTAGCCTTTTGGCAGATCACTTACTGCACCTTTAAGTCTATGGGAAACATTGGGACATCCGCTAACAAAAGTGCCAACTGGCCCAGTTGGGATTATAAATATATTCTATTTATAATTAAGTTAACCGAAAAAAAACTTTTTTGTGAATTGTTACGGTCTACTATGGTGTAATACATTGTCACAGCATAATTTGATTTATACGTGTAGTGCCTCGACAATGGAAGAACAATAACTCATGGCATTATTGTAGATTCAGTGATCTCTTGTGTATCTCTTAACATGTTGTTTCTGTAGGGTCTGAGTCCTCAAACTCCATTAAGCTAATGAGAAGGAAGTTGCAGCCTAAGATACGACTCCCCCCTGTGTATGATACATTGGCTGACTAGTTTTCCTGTTTCATTTGTAAACTTGTGCACCAGAGAGAGGGCGTAGGAGGAAAAATCAGTGGGTGGACGGGTGTTTTGAATGTGTTGTAACATTCTGTATATTTCAGTGAAACCTTATTGTAAGTCTATTTTCTGTTTAGAAACCAGTGCGGAATTTGGAAGCGTGGAATGTGCTTAATAAAATTTCTAAAAGTGCAGGTTTTCATAATGGCATAATCACCTTCCCAAAGTTGGGAGGCTGTTTGGACACGGTGGATATTACAGGGTGACAGCAGCAGGTCAGCTGAAGTCTGTGTTTTGGCAGTGAACACACTTCGGCCTTTGTCTGCTGTAGTGGTAGCAAATGAAGATGCCAAGCCTGCATGGTAATGTGGCAGCTCCATTAAGAGCCATTTTTAGACTGATCACAGAATGGGTTTGCATCTCTGGCCCCCTCACACAGAGTTCATCTAAACAGAGACACAATTATTAACAGATGAATGATAGCTAGACACATTCAGACCCTGTTTTTTGACACACAGTATGAGATCTGGACTTATGAACATTTGCATTTTGAGTAAATCAATGAAGATTTTCACAGGGTATGTAATTGTGAATTATGAAGGGCACTTTTATGGCTTGTAGCTGTACTGCAACTAAATAGTGCCATTCATTCTTTCATTTATTCATTCATTCATTCATTTTTGTTTTGGCTTAGTCCCTTTATTATCAGTGATTGCCACAGCGGAATGAACCACCCACTTATCCAGCCAATGTTTCACGCAGTGGAGGCTCTTCCAGCTGCAAGCCTTCACTGGGAAACATTCATGCGCACTCATTCACACACATACATTACAGATAATTTTACCTTTAGCACATGTCTTTAGACTGTGGGGGAAACCGGACCACCCGGAGGAAACCCACGTGAACCCAAACTCCACACAGAAATGCCAACTGACCCAGCTGAGTCTCAAAGCAGCGACCTTCTTGCTGTGAGGCGACAGAGCTACCCACTGTGCCACCGCGCAACCCGTCAAATATATATAATGTATATATTCAATATAATATAATAATATATCCATATCCATATATAATATGTCCATATAACATTAGATTTGTGATTGTTTTTGCACACTCTGCAAGCATCAGAGGTTGTTCTGCCCTGCAGAAAGTTTAACCCTAATTCAAAGTTGCTATACCTGAGTAGAAGCAGACATTAAAAAAAGACATAAAAGCTAGTTTTATTAAATTTTTTATATAAAATATAACTATTTTATTTATTTATTTTTAACTGAGCGAAAGCAAGTATAAAAAGACAGTCAAATTTTTTATCAGTTTGTCATGCCAACTAAAGTCATAAGCTTGATTTACTTGAACATATATGTTGTTTTCAATCTATATTAAACTAGTGTAAACTGAGAAAATATATAATACTATTTCTTCTATGCTAATGGAGGACTACTGGGACATTCTGAGCATAGGAGGAGTCCTCCTTGTATGGCAGAGTTTCTCACAGCTTCAATACACATCTCTGCAATTTGTCTTACAGAAACCATGTGCTTTTCACCATACACAATTCATCTGCTCGTGATCTTCTTTCATGTCAACTTTGTCATGTCTGGTGTCATTTGATAGTTTGTAACTTCAGTGCTAGTGATGAAATGAACAGAGACATTGATGTATTTTAATGTACAATCTACACTAATGTACATATTTAACGCTACGCTAATGTACTTCTCTGCACTTTAACTTCTAAAATGCTGATGAAATTTGATTATTTTCAAATAGCAACATCACAAGATTAGTAATCTTCAACCTTTCCTTATTCCTAATTTGAAATTATTCTGGGTTACATTCAGTATGACACTATTTAAAGATGCGCTTTTATGAGAAAATGTAGCAAGATACTCAAGCAGCACTAATTACAGTATGTATAAGGTCAGACACTATAATACTTTTTATAGAGGTCCAAACAGCAGACAAAACACCAGCGAAGAAACTCTACACAGATGAACATAAACGTCTACTGCCAGCTAGTGTTATTGCAGAGCATCACAAAAAGCATGCAGAACACTCGATTAAGAAGTTTAAACCTGGCTTCTTGTGTTTCAAACCACAGAAGTTTACAGGAAGCCAGTGGAGGAGGTAGATTACATGTGTGCGGTGTTCATTATGATTGTTTGTTAAAATGTGAGCAGCAGCATTTTGTACAAGTTATAAACGATGAAGACAAGCTTGGCTAACTCCAACATAAAGTGAATTACAATAGTTCAAACAGGACCTAACAAAAGCATCAACGGCTTTCTCAAGAGCACTTTTGGTGAAGCTAAAAAAAGCTTTCTTTGAGTACTAACTGATTGATATTT